AAGCAGAATTTCAATCTTGGATTCGACGCTGGAGTGAGGAAAGGCAGCAGGACCGAGTGGGCTCCTTCCTACTCTTTTCAAGCTGGGGATGATAACCTCGTAAGCTCTATTATTTATTTTCTGTACAAGAGCGCGTTCCTTCCTCTTGTGGCTTATCACCGATCGTTCCCATTTTCAAGAAAGGATCCCGCAACAATTGTGAAAACCACCACGGGATAAGTTTGATCCCAATCGTCACCAAGGTGTCGATCTCTGTCATGTTTTCACGTCTGACTCCTTTAGGAAAGACCTCCAACCGTGAACAGTAAGCCGGAATCCGGTCTGGACGTAGACCTGTTGATCAAGGTTCTACGTTGTCAAGTCCTTGAGCTGCGGCACATCTTAGGTCGACCGATGATCACAGTGTTCGTTAACCTAATAGAAGCATTTGACTCAGTTGACCGCAAAACTCTCATTGGTTTCCTTAATCAAAAAGGAATGTCGCAGCAATACGTTAACTTACTTAGGTCATTATGCTCATATACCTCTGGTCGGGTGGGGATTTATAACGAACAATATAAGTAGGCCGTTCGTCACCAGCAGTGGCGTTCGTCAAGAGTGCCCTATTTCGCCCTTTGTCTTAGATTTCGTCGCAGACAAAGCACTGGAGAACGTACTAAGTGATCTCCAATACGTAGGTATTGAATGGGCAGCTGGAGAAAAATTGTACGATTTGGAGTACGCGCAAAGCGTACTTGATAGATTATCATTCGGTATGTACTTTGCACCTTCAAAGTGCCAAGTGATGCTACAGGACTAGGTGTCGCCTACTCTCTCGCTTTGAAACTAAATCGCCCGTAATTAGTCATGCTGGATTACTTTTCCTACCTGGATAGTTGCGTCACCAATGACAGGAGGATAGCAAAGGAGATAACCACTCGCATTTCCAAGGCTCGATCAGCATACGCAGAACTGAAACACCTTTGGCATAGACGCGACTTTTCACTGAAGTTGAAAGGTCGTGTGTAAATTGTGTGTTACTGTTCGTTCAATTCTGTTTCGTGGTTGTGAAATATAGAATTTCCGAGCAAAACACATCCATGAACTAGAAGTTTTCCATTATCGGTGTTTACGTAGTTTAGCTCACATGGCATGCAGCGAACGGATTATCGAGGATAGCCTTGCTAGCTCATCGAGCTCATATTAGTAGGCTTCGCTGGTTAAATCAAATATTGCCTATGCCCAGCTGTCGTCTGCCGCACCGTGCCTTATTCTCTGTGGCCGTAACGGGCTGAAGAAAACCCTGTGTAGGTCAACAGATGATTTGGAAAAAAGGCCTGAATAAATGCACAGAGCCATTAGTTAGAGAAGGTGTCTCGCACCTTCTAGTTTTGGGGTCCGAAAAACTCTGTAGTTGAACATCTGAAGACATTGACGGATATGGCAACTAACCGTTGACAGTGGCGTTCTTGTTGTCATTTCTTATCAGACCAGAATGCTTGAAACGGTATGTATGCAGAGTTCGATTGTGTACTCTCTGTGTGTTGACTATAGGGGTTCACCTTCCTCCCCCTCCTTCCATATAGGTTCAATCCCTGTCCACCTTACATATTATCATACGCCCTGTATGCATTGCAACTTTGGTAACGATCAGGGAAGTTCGCTTCATACAGGATATAATTGTGGCCGTTTCATCCGTTTCTCCTCACATTTCGAAAAATTTGGGATAAGATGAAAAGACAACACCAGAAGGTATCTAAACATGATGACATATTTGACAGTCGACCACAATGATGATAATTTTGTGCAATCCAAGAATGTATAATTTTTTTCCAAAAGAAAACGAAGGTATCTGGGGGATATGAGAAGGTGAATAGGATTGGTTGGCAGTATTTTATTGACACGCAATGCAATCGTTAACATCAAACTAGGCATTGTACCAAGCTCAGCAGTGGCCTTGTGCTACGATTACTTTGGAGCCATATCCGGAAAGATGGGTACATATGTGTATATCTATTGATGTACGCCGATTACAGTCAACATAACCGCCAGACCGCCATCATCACTCTGGATACAATGCCCCCCAACTATCCGCTGTTCGCGTGTATCACTTAAAAACCAGTAATCTTTACCATGTGATTTGAAGTCATCTAAGCCACGGTGTGTAGAATCGTTTCACAGATCCTACTCTGTCGGATATACTGATTGTGATTCGCTACTCCGTGCGATTTCCATCACGCTGGATAGATCAAATCGCGTTCAGCATGGGGTCCGAGCTCTCAGTGGATGACCCCGTCCCTCCGAAACCACCATTTTCTTTTTCTAGCACCCGAACGAACTCACATGTCTTCTGTTAAAAGTGACTTTTTTTATCCTCTCGAGTTTCGCGTCAGAATCGTGTGCCAATCAGGTTTCATTCCGACATCTTGTCTGTCTCTGTCTCGTCCGATTGCATCTCTCGTTCTGTGTCATTTTCGAGTTTCGTGATTCGGATGAGTCGTTGCTGTTATTGCTATTGTGACTCTTCTTCCGATCATCCTCGACTTCCGTGCACACCGGTTATTGTTCTCACATTCCCGTTGTGCATATGGCAGCTTGTGACAGTTTGTCTGTACCTTGTCTTCAATCCGGATGACACATTTAGATTTCGCTCTCACTCGCTCGTTACATTATTCTGCATGTCTCAATTCAATCATGTGCTCCGCTTCCCGTTCCAGATGTGTCGTTGTCATACGTCAGCTGACCGGTGGGGATCGACAATATTTTATTCAGAATGCAAGCAAGAAACCACTGACTGCGGTCGAATTCAGTCCTGATGGGAAATTCATTGCCACGGGCGAGGTATGTTTTTACTCCAAATGTACGAGTTGTATTGGCGTGCACGAGTTGTTGCAATTGCTGTTTGCTTTACACCTCCCCCCGTCTCTGCCTCCAAGAAAATCCTTCTCTCATGCTCTGCTATCTAGCTTTTTTTTCCACATTCTCTCCAACTCACTTCCGGTTTTCCCAACATTGTTTGAGGTCACAACCATTTACGATGTGAGTGTGTGTGAGTGAGGGAAACAGATAGACAGACAGACATGCATACTCGGGACATTGCTCGTGCATCCTCATTGTGTACACGGATTACTACATCTGACCTGAACTATAAGTTTCCCTGTTGAATTCAACCTTTATCGCACCGTCCTGTTATATATATATATATATGGGATAGTCGACTACCACCCGAAACGAACGAATCGACAGTTAAAGCGCGACAGACAATCCGCAGCTAGCCAGAAAGATATCCACCGAATACCACAACGTCGGAGCTGTCGATCGCCTCATGGTGTGAGTGAATGCATTTCCGATCTCTTTCCTTTTGTCCGATCACTGATTTCTGACCGGTTGTCATCAGATTACCTTTCTTGTTGCTTGTTTCATTTATGCAAACATCAAATTGTCGAAACAAATAGGGAGTTGTTGACATTGTCGCTGATCGAATTTCACCCCACCCCAATCCCTCCGCGATGTTGTTATTGACCTAAATTGACCAGACTTTATGAAATCCGATTTTCGGTTTGCCAGTCTAGCACCCGAATTGGCTCCTTATGCGTGTGTGTGTCTGTGGAAAATCGTAGCACGATTTATTAAATATAAGATGTACAGGATCGGAAACAATATTAGTAATATATCGAAGCGTCTACCCCATCCGCTGACCCAGTCAACCACGACGTCACTCCGAGGGGAAGCAGAGAAAACGAACCATTCCTGTTACTCGTTTTTATAGCTCTCCAGTTACATTTGTGCTGAAGTTGTTTCTGTGATCACTTTTCCTCTATGCCAGTCTAATTCCGAATTCGGCTGAAGTTATTCGGTTCCAAATTTCCACTTCTGTGATTGGATACGCACACACACTATTTTTCTCACTATACTGTTACGTCAGCGAGACCACTAGACCCGAGTGAAATCCAGGAAACGGATTGTGAAGTTCCATGCACTACCACCACCACCACTACAATCTGTTCCGCTCCTACCCAGCTGGACACGTTTCTTTTTTCCCAACTGGAACGCTTCTCGCCTCCTTGTCGCACTCGTTTTCATCTACGCTACCAGAGTAAAAAAAATATCACATTGCGTAATCCAATAGCGGAGCGTCACACAGTTAAGCAAGGATAGAGTTTGTAGTAGCGGAATTACGCAATCCTGCCTGAAACAATCCGGAAGCATCAATTTTTTCTAGAACGCATGCATCTAGCGCTCATTGAGGCAAATGCTACCACGAATGTTTCCCATTGCCCCAAATTTATCGCAGTTCACAACTTTTCTCACTTGATTCTATAATACGCACACAGTTGGGGAATTTGAAAGTTTGAACGTGGTTCTGTAACTAGCTACCACATTACTCTCTGGTCAGTTGCTCCTGTGCCATTAGGGAAACCGGATAACGATAGACTGTCAGTGTTCGAACACCTCTATTCACGCAGTATTGCACGAATCTGGTGGGGTAGCCGATCAAGCAATGCTGAGATTAGGCGCAGAGGTTTAGGTAACTGCGGTCGCCCACTGGAGCAAGTGGTCGAACTGCATAGCTTACGTTGATTGGGGCATCTGTTACGCATGTCACAAAATAGATTGCCGCGGCGAACGATGTTTGCTGAGGCAGGCAATGGTTGGAAGAAAGTCAAGGGTGGTCAAGCTAGGACCTGGCATGAGGGTATGAAAACTCCAACCAGGAAATTGGGTCACAGGTCCCGTTAAGCTCCCTGGCTGGGGACCTCGGGATAACCATACCAGAGGGTTAGAGACTGAGTGATATTGTGATGGAAGGTGACACGAAGAGAGCCCCGGCCTGCGAACGAATCAAGAATAAGGCCCATCCAACCAGATGCGCATACGTAGCGGCTGGAAGTATTTCGCGAAACAATGTCGACTATCACCCGAAACGAACGAATCGACAATTAAAGCGTGACGGATAATCCGCAACTAGCCATAAAGATATCCACCGAATATCCAAAGTAGGAGCGGTCGATCAACGTATCTCACGCTACGATTGGGTCAAACCAGTCGGAACGGCACGTGGAAGAAGAGGCAACGTACGTGCCAAGTGCGGACCAAAGCCAACAGGGATTAACTAACAGAATGAGACATGAACCATCCTACCGCGCGGTTAAGACTTAAATGTATATAATTGAACGCGTACACCGGTTGTTTTCGGATTGGATCAATAAACGTTTTCCCAGCCAGCTCGTTACATTGGTGTCGTCGTCAGGATCAACACAACGCAATGCATGTACCTTGCCCGAACGCGTTTGCAGACGGAGATGTGGAGAAGTGGATTCGCGATTTTGAATTAATCGCATCATGCAACGGCATCAAAGGGAGTACGCATCTGGTCACCGCGTTTAGTGCACTACTTTCCAGACGGTCAAGGGCCGCTTACGATTTGAATTGGGATAACAACCAAGCCCTGGATTATGAGAATTTGAAAGCTGCGTTAGTGGTAACGTTTTCTAAGGAGGGTGACCGCGAGAAGGTAATGAACCGGTTTTACGCTGCGGAGTACAACCGGACCCAATACCAATACATAAAGCGACAAATTTCTCTGGGCCTGTCGGAGTCAAACAATGAAACACGGGAGAGGCTTGCCAAAGACCGGTTCATACAAAGCATACCGGCACAGATGAGAGACAAACTGAGGCTTGCGGTTGCGTGCGGGGTGAGTGACGCAGACCGCCTAATTTCGATTGCGCAAGCCTATCAACAAGATGACGTGGTTGCTCGGGCGGGTCCTTCCGAAACAGAAAGTAAGGTTGAACAAATAGTTGAAGAAATTCAAAGGCTGGAGGAAGAACTCAATGGCGGATCACAAGAAGGGAGACGTTTCAGAGCTCAGGTTCGATCAAAGCGGTGTTTCAGTTGCAATGGTATGAGACATTTTGCCCAAACCACCACATTCGTTCATGTTTTTCTCTTTCTAATCCGACTCCCCGTGGGGTTCCAAGGTTCGAGGTTTTCATTTTGGGACGGATGGCTGTTATTGATACGGGTACCGGGATTTCCATTATGCCTCGGATGGAAGGGGTTCCGATGAAACCGTGCGATCTGAGCGTACGTGCGGTTGGGGGTGTGTCACTCAGAGTTTTGGGTAAGTAATGTGTCAGTGTGCAGGTTGGCGGGGTGACTGTTACCCATGAGATGTTGTTGATCGAAGGTGTAAGTGAGATTATAATCGGTGCCGATCTTCTCAGGTGCTTAGATGCGAAGGTTGATTTTGTGGGAGGTAAATTGCTCGTGGGATAGCAAGCACAGAAATTAAACTCAGGAAAACAAACGCATGCCCTCGCCAGCGTTGTGAAGGAATCGGCCGTTCCGAAGTGTTCAATTCCATATGTTAAACAATGCGTTGAAAATTATTCTGAGTTGTTTTCTACTGCAGTCGACGAGTACGGACTTTGTGGCTGGTTGGAGCACAAAATAAAACTAATCCCAATAGCCGTGTGTAAGCCTGTGTATCGAAGGCTACTTCACAAGATAATGCCGGAGGTGGAGAAACAAGTGTGTGACATGCTGTCAAAAGGTATTATCCGTAAAAGTACCAACTCTTATTCGTCACCAGTGCTGCTCACTAGAAAATCCGACGGTACTTACAGATTCTGTCGACTTTCGAGAACTAAACCGTGTAACCATAAAAGACACCTTTTCGATGCCACTGACGGATGAGATGTTTGAACAACACCACTCTGCACAGGTAATATCACTAATCGACTTGTGGTCGGGGTATTGGCAACTACCAGTTGCAGACAGCGATGGAGAGAAAACAACATTTTGTGTCAACGGACAGCAATACGAATTTGTTCGGATGCCGTCCGGGTTGTGCAATGCTTGCCTTCTGGTTACAATATGGTTGGGTGTGGTAAACAGTGGCGTTCGTGCATCTTCTCAATTTCTTTTCAGTCCTGGTCCACTAAAATTCTCCATTTTCTCTTAGATCCTACTTTCAATCTTTCCTGTCTTTCTCCCACTCGTTCATCCAACCGGCGCACGAATGTGTATGGATAATGGTTTCACAAACTGAAACTGATTTACGACAACTGATCCAGCCATGTTCGCGGATGAAATTGGTGAATTCTAACACGGAGTCCATTGCTGGGTGTGATGTACACAAGTGAAGCTCACAGTTGCGGTATCACTCGCTCGACTAATTGGGTCTCCTCAACTCCTTCCGAGACGGGATAAAACGACATGCTTGCTGAAGCACTGATAGTGGCTAGCCCATATCTCGTCGGATTTTCACATTGAGGTTCATGCACCCGCACCAATTCTCTCACCGTAGATTTGTTCCACAGCATTCATTTCATGTCGTTTCAGATTTTGCGTCCTCCCATCACGGAGTGAGAAACTACTATTCATACTCTGCGGTGTACAGTTAGATTAAAAGACTATTGGTAATGATCAGTATTGCGTAACCAGAATGGCATATAATGACTGCACCCTCTAATCGTGTGTTTCGTGTCGAGGATAATGACGTATTTTCTGCGGTTATCGCGTTATTCACGTATGTAATTTTTCCATTCACATTAGCCTATACTTTGATACAATAAGTCAGTATTCATACTTTGTTGTGAAAGAATCAGGTGCCCCGGGAATATTATGAACCCATGCAAAAATGCCACCTGCTCCGCTGTGTACAGCGCGTATCTGATCGGATTCAAATTCCCAAGGAATATCCTCAACAATTTGCCATCTAAACTGTATGTGTAACTTTTCCTCGAAGAATAAAATATTGCTATATATTTTTTTCTTTGAAAAGAACAAAGATCCTCCTGAAATGGCTTACTTATTCCATATTTAGGGTGTCA